TTTTCTCTTTCAGACTAGTAAACGCAATAGGTCTTACTTCAAAGCCAGGGGACTCTGAATAATAACAAAACTCCATTTAAAGCTCAATCTTTTGGCCTCTCAGAACAGGTTTCTCCAGATGAACGCTTTCTATCTGACAGCACATCAGTTCCAACCAGCCACATGTCCAGTGGCTGCCAGACTGCACTGTGCAGTGACAGACATGATTAGGCTCCTGGTCAGTCCACACTGGCTTCCCCCTGCATGCCAGCCCCAGGTTTGGATCTTATACCACAGGAACAGGAGTGAGGGCATCCAGTAGGGGAGCCACAGCAAGCCGGTGGGGGCAGTGCCAGTGAAGAACCAGCCTGGGGGTGAAGAGGGCATGGCTGGCCACAGGTCATTGGGGCAGCTTATCAGCAAGGAGTCAGGGCCGAGTCTGGGCAGCTGACCAGGAGTGGGAGGCAGAGCTGCCCGCTGGCAGGGCACCAGGGCAGGGCCGAGGGCCGGGACCAGGAATACACCCTCTCCCTGATCACCACACCCCTCTCGTTCAAGCCAGAAACACAGCCTTGGTGGGTGGGCATCATGAGCCCAGTGTGTTCTCTCCTCCTGTGTCGCCAGCATCTGTGGCAAAGCAGAGCTGCCCACAGGGGCTTCCAAACTGCAACCTTTACAGGAGCAGACTGCCATGCTTTGCTCTCGGGGAGCTACTGGACAACCTGTTGGTCAGCAGCCAAGTGCTTAACCACCAATGCTGCATAATGGAACAAGATACTCTCACCTATGCTTTGGAATCAGGTGATGGGAGTGGGGGAAATCACTGGCTTTGCTTGAAGTCCAGCCTCCAAAACGGCTGGTCTCAATCTTCCAGGCTGCCTTCCCCAACACTGGCCCACCCTCGCTCATAACGCTGCTCCTCAGTCATCTCTCACAAACACATGTGCTCATGCAGGTCCCACCCACCTTTTCTGCCTCCCAGATCAAAAGCCAGGTCACTTGTGAAGACTTCTCCCAGGATTCTAGTTACTAACAATTTCTATGCTCCTATAGGACCAGGCAATGTTTCGTTCTGTTGTGCATAGGGTCACTATGAGTCGATACCGACTCGATGGCATCTAACAACAACAACCACAATTGTTGTCCAAGTAAAGATTTCATGGGATAGTTTTGGCTTAGGATTTAAAGTTTAAATATTACCTCAGGATAGTTTTCAGGGTCTGTCCAGCCT